TGCCGTTCTTGAGATCCCTACACGTCAGGGGTAATTACACGAATACTAGTCATGAGCTACTAATTTTGATACAATGACGAGAGTAAGTTACAGTTGTAGATTATAACCACACGCCCATAAATTAAAATTAGAAACAGGTATTCAAACCATGTCCGCGATATCATTATGTCCATTCTCATTCCACCCAGATCCAGCTCGAAATTTACATACAGGGCATGTCCCTTGTTGGCGCAGCCAGGGGTCGATGCAATTCGCGTGAAACTTCAAAATTAAACAAGGTATCAGTATCGTTCACATAAGATACATAAATTTATACAGAATATCAACTATGATTTTAATGAACTTTATAATTACTTGAAGAGAATAGTCAACAAATGTTCATAAACCTGCCTGTACTGATAATTACTATCCTAAAACCCAAATGTTTTGTTTTCTATCACTAAAAAAATGTTTAAAAAGCACTTCTTTAGATTTTAAATTGGAAAAAATTGTACGGCATCATATAAATATATTAAAACATCTGTTTTAAACCGTATCGCAGGTGCTTCTTCCATGGATACACTTGCACAACGTAAATGGCTCAAGATCATAATGGAAATCCACATAAACGAAAGTTTTCACAATGGCAATATAGCAATAACCTACAAATCCAATTCAACTGTAGCTGAAATTTGACAGGAGTTCAACCAAACTTGTATTAGAAAAAATGGTTGATTAAAACTTGGACATAAAAAAGCCTCTCTTCCTTCCCATAAATTCAAACTAACTAATGTTATTACTTCTATATATCAGTGACTCAGATGACAATAAAAGGGATAAACTGACACAATGTATCATTCGAAAATTTAGGAAAAGAAGCTATTTGATAATAAGTTACAGATTACTAAGCTATGACACAAACCTGGTGCAAGCAAGGTAAGCTACGCAGTACATCACCAACATTAACTTGCTCCAAGCATACACTGCAAGTGAGTTCATCGTCAGAGGCTTTCATGCTCCCAACAGCATTTGAATTATCTTGCTTCTTCTGCACAAATGAAAAGGAATAGAATATGAAAATCTATCACCACACTAATAGCTCATAAAACACAAAATTTACAATTCAACAAGGAAAAGTTAACAATGTAGAACAACAAAAACCAAGTCTTTCCCCCCTTAAGTGAGATTGGCTACAAGGACCAAACAACGCTATAATGTTTTTATAGTGCATCATGTATACTAAATAAACAAACCTTTGACTAACAATGTAGATGTTGCATATTTGTATGATCCTTTTGTCATATAAATCGCCCAGAAGACTTACAATGAATTTACACACAGTGATGGATATAAGTGATACAATGGTATTCAATGAAAGAATATGTAAGCATTGACTATTTTCAGTTCTCAACCACAAGATAATTGTGCTATATCTATATCAGTGAAGTTTGAGGGTCAGCACTTTTCCCATACTGTCAAGAATAGCATAGGAAAATAACAAAAAATAATGCAGAAAATGCACCTAGGGAATCAATGAAGTTCTCATGATATGCAATATAATTCACTTGTTTAAGGCACATGGGTGAAGGGGAAAATAAGGCCAAAAATGTTGACAAATACCTCAACAGATGCGGAAGATGATGCTTGTTGCATTGAGGAACTACTGCTGTAAGCAAAAGCAGCTTCTCGTCAAATAATCAGTACTATAACTTATTTAGATTGGCATATATAAACTCAATAAAATTTCTAAGTGAAGGAGTACATCCTCATTTCAACAAGCATTTTAAGTCAATACTGGTAATTGACAGGTTAAAGTGTAGGTGGACAGGACATTTTCATATAGAAAGTATAGTTTAAGAAGGTCTTCATATATCATATAAAATGGTTATATACAGAAATAATAAACATATCAAAGTACCAAATAACATGGCAGTAAAATTCAGTGCTTCCATGTAATTCAAAATCAAAGCTATCATAATTTCTTTAATATAGCCTTTTCTGTATATTATCATTGCTCTTTTACCATCAAATGTATCCTTAATATTTTATTGCTAACATAAAAATAGAGTTTTCCTTTTTTTGCCACATAATGTTAATCTAGATAGAGGATTTTTTTTGTGTTTTTTCTGTTTGGGGGGGGGGGGGGGGGGGGG